TAATAAAAATATTTTATTTCTTTTATACATTTCGTTCAGGTGCGTCATTTCAACTTTTGAAAGAGTGGAGCAACTGATTAAATTTACCGACTTCATAATATTTAAAAAATTATGGTTACCTAAATATTTAAATATTTAATATTTATGGATGATAGACTATCAATAAAATATTTTTTCGGAATAAAACATGTAAGAATTAGTAATGAATAATGATTTCATGATGATAAACAAAGAACATGAAACATTATAATTTACCTAATTAAATAATAACATTAATTATACAGCCAAGTTATAATATAGTTTATATCAAGAAAATTGTATAAGAGTTATTTTCATACGATTCTTACTATTATATTATGTAAATATTCGTTAACACTTACAAATTTAATATAATATTATCATTTTTACTCTGTACTCATTTCTGTTCAAACGTTTATGCGTGTATTGAATACGTTTGGATAACATTTAATACGGGTAAACATAGTGCAAAAATACATAAAGTGTTTAGAGAATATAGTGAAAAAATATGTAATTAAACCGTAGTTAAAAAGTCGTGTAACTACTGCAATTGGACAACAGTAAAAAATGCAACTCGTCAACTAAACTACATTTTAGATTGTTGTAAATGCCCTAAAAATATTAAAGATGTCTTTAAATCTTATGCAACTCATTTAACTGATACAAGTATGTGTTATAAATTTTAGTCTTATTTTATGATTTTATCACAAGGTAACTTAAAAACAGTTTTAAATCTATGGTACTTACTTTCTTATTGCTTGTTGTAGTTTTTTTAAATACCTACTAGGTAGTAAAATAAAGATACAAAATTATCATTTATCCGTGATTTTAAAACCTTTTTAACGTCACTTTACACATAGTAATCATGGTCATATATGGTGACCGGTGGAAGGCATAAGCGCCAATGAGATAAGAAATATCGATAAGTCATATCGTACAAAAGTGCCAAAATTGTATTGTATGAAAGCGCCAAAATCCTAGATATCTGTAAATTAAATAACAGATTTTAAATTTAGAACTATATCGTTCAAAAACTCCAAACGCTTAATCTTAATTGACAAATGTATTATATGATTACGATAGAATGTCACATAGATAGTGTGTGAGCAGTTTTTTGTTATAATATATGTTAGTACCTATTTCGTAAGCATTCGTGTAAGCGTCATTCGTTAAAATGGATTTTATAAAAACTGTTACGAACAAAAGTGTTGTGTATATTTTATTTAAAGAGCAAAAATATAGATTTTTAAGAGAAATGGCCAGTGGTAATGTGTCATTGAGGTGTACCAAAAAAAAATGTTCTGTTAGAATAGAGATGGATAAACCTATGACTGCAATTGTTCGTGTTAATGGTGAGCATTTACACGATATAGTGAACAATCATGATGCTCAGTGTTATATTTTGCGCAATAATTATAAGAGAAAAGTAACTGAAAATATTACCGATCGACCACGGATTTATTAACTTTATATTGATTTACATGTATATTTTAATTTATTATCAACATTTTTTTATAAAATAGCAACGGATTTATTAACTTTATATTGATTTGCATGTATATTATAATTTATTATCGACATTTTTTTTTAAATTTTTTTTTTAATTTTTAAATAACTATCTACTTATATAAAATATTAATTTTGGCGCAAATGCTATGTCACTTTTGCACCTTTGGCGCTTATGTCTTATGTTAGGTATAACAGGTAACAATATTAGAATGGCGCTTATGTCCTACAGATTTTGGCGCAAACAATAGGTCATTTTTTGGCGCTTATGTCATACAGCCATGGTGACTAGATATCCAGATAATTAATGTAATAATTATTTATAGAAAAATAGAGTTAGTATCTACTATCTATATGGTATGTATATATAGTAAGTACCTATTATTTACCTTAAATATTTATCAAATTTTATTGTTTTTGAAACTTAACATACTGAAATTTCTTAGTATTAAGTCTTAGTGTATTTAAATCTTAACATGTTATTTTCTTGACAAAAAAAATTTAACTTATAATAAATTAAAATTAAAAACAAAATTAATTTAATGACTAATAGGTCTTACTAATATGTTCTCCCTAAAAAAATGTGAAATATAAAATTAAATATATATAAAAAAAAAACAATTTTTTTTAAAATAATGAAATATTTCACAACCTTATATTTCATTAAATGTTCAAACACTAATTATATTACGTTTCAAATAAAAATCAATTAAAATCCTTTGTGTTAAATGTTGACGACCACTGGAATGTAAAATTTTGCATATAAAAAAGCACTAGTAATAAACTTAAAAGTCTTATTTTTAATAAAAATTATAATACTCAAAATAATTTAGATATATTAATAACGATCACACAAGATCAATTTTTTTGTTGTTGTGAAGGTGTGTTACTATGGTGACGGTACATAATTGTTATCTTAAGAGAGAACGGAAATTTTTGACGAGATCGGAAGAATCTTTCAAGACTATTATTTCAATATATATAATTTCCTTACTGTTTTTGTGTATTATTATAGGCGTTGAAAACGTTTGCAGAGCATTCAATCTTCCACGAAATTCTTGAAAAATTCCAAAACCTATTCCCTTATTTATAGGATCGTCCGCTGTTGAATTAATTTTATCCCAAAAGATAACTTTATCAGTCATTCAAAGTTCTCGTTACACGCCGTGTAACAACGATCGTCATAAACTGGGGAGAAGCCAGTATTTCCCAACTTTTAATAAACTGTGAACGTGTATTTAAAAGAGAATATTATTTGATTTCTCAATACAAAATAGTAAATAAAAATTTGCTATTTACCGATTTTAGCATTTAATCATCAGACAAAGAATTGCCGACTTTTTACAATTTCTTAGGGTGGGGCATTGCTATAGTCTACCCCCTCCCCTCAAATGACGTCCCTGATTTCGTTTATATTTTAACTAAATGGTTTTACTATTTGATAATGACAAATGGTTTGGTTATGTGTTCACTAATCAGTTAGTTAAAATGAATAATAGTAAACCAAAAAGATTAAACTTAAATAAAAAAATTAATATTACTAAGACTAAAAAATCGGAAAATCTAAGTGTACGAATATTAGCAAAACGGTTTTGCATAAGCAAATCACAGGTAAATTTAAATATATAATTGTAATGTTTTGTATTTATTGATCTAAAAAATATCTTATTTAAAGAAAAATACAGATGAATACATTTTACAATATGTGTACAATTCAAATAAATATTTCGTTGTGAATGGCAATGAAATAATGAAGAGAAGATTTTTGAAGATATTAGACACAGCACTTGTAGATAAAGTTACATTTAAATAGTTTTGTAGAGCCCCTTCATATAAATTACCTGTTTCTTGAGCATTGATCCAAGAAAAAGCATAAGAAGTTGTAAATGAGGTAGGTCTAGAAAATTTTAAATTGAAGCTTTAAATGGTTATAAATCGTTGGCTTCAAAAATTCTGTTCTAATATTATTAATCTAACGCTATAATATTTTGAAATAAAAGTGCCATAGAAAACAGGTTCAAAATATTTAAAACATTAATTTCAGATTATGAACCAAAAATATATGAAATAGTGATGAAACAGGTTTATTTTTTTGAGCACTTCCTGATAAAAACATTGCGTTTAAAAAACTAAATTTGTTGTGTAGGTAAAATAGCAAAAAATTATTGACTGTTTTATTATGTGTAAATATGATCGGGGGATTTGAAACTTAAAAATAAAGATAATAAAGATAAAATAAAGATAATAAGATAATAAATAATAAATTATATATATATATAATATAATTATATATACTATATAGAGGTTTTCTCAATAGTGGACAACTCTTTATAATGGACACTTGGCTATCCATTATAAAGAGGTTTCGCAGTATTATTATGATGAATGCAGTAACGTAGTCAAGGGGAATGGGGGTTAATGTGTCTTAATCCCGCCCAAAATGTCTCTTATTTTGAAAGATGTATAATAATTTTAAGACATATGTATAATGTTATATCATATCACCATCAAACAATTTTCACAGTTTCAACAAATTAAATGATAATAAATTTTATATTTCAACTCATGTTTAATTGACTTATTAAAATGAAAAAGTTGGTACTTAATTACAAGAAAAAATTCAAAATTTAAAGCCCTCCCCCTTAAAATATTTTTCTGTCTATGCCACTGGATGAATGTAAATGTTTATGGTTTATGAATGAAGCATTTTTGAAGATATTAATCCATATTAATGTTGATTAATTAGATATGACTAAATTGTACAACAAATTAAATAAACCAATTCAATTACATATACTCATATATAATATACTCGTATACGATAATATTTACATAATTACATATATAGGTGTACCTATTTATATGTTTTAAAATAACTTTGGTCGAGAAATTTTAAAATTTCTTTAAAAAAAAGGAAATGTTAGAAGAATGTACTATTTTCTTATTTTTTTAATCGGTTTCATTTAATTTTTCATTTTTTTGACGGCAACACATCGATAATAATGATATGATTGTACAAATACCGATGATACCACTGTGTTCAAAAACCAAATATTCTCAGGAACGTAGAAAAATATACGATCCAAAATTGTATGGTACACAGTGGATAATGACTAAACAAAATTATTATTAACTAAACCTCTGTGTAATGACAAAACAGTACGAATTAAATATGTTCGTAAGACATTTGAAAACTGTCATGATGCTTTTCGTTTCAATGTCTACCGTATTATTTTACTTTTTAAAAACCAGTTGTTTCATACAATTTTTTTTTTTGGGGGGGGAGCAAGTGCCCTAAACGCCCCATGTACCCTTGAACCTGGCCATGGTTCCGGAAACGAGGGAAGGGGAGAAAAAACGTCGGCGGTGGCGGCGTGCTCGGCGGCGTAAAATCTCGCGGGGCGCGTTCCAGCAACCGTTTTTTTTTTTCCTCGAGGCAGTGAAACGCGATGTACAGTACACCGCGATGTGCCGCGCCGTCACCACGTGAGCGATATTATTATAACACGAGACTCCGTCCCCGGACCACGCGTGCAACGTTCGCGCATCGTTTCGCGGTGGAACGATTTTCATTTGTACGGCGCGTCGTCGTGTTGCGTTCGCGAGACCGTCTCACCGGTCGTGTGTTCGTTCCGTCGTCGTCTTCTCGGTCTCGCGATAACGCGCGTCGTTATTTTTTAAACCGCCTTCGCGCCGCGTGACGTTTTCACGACAGTGCCGTTGTGCTCCGGCGTCCGATTTTGATCGCGTGGATCCGCGCGTATCTCGTCAACGGATCTCAAAACCCGTCCGCCCGCCCATCGCCCGCAATTTTTCGTCAGTTCCGTTTCACCGCGCTGGCACTATGGCACCCGCGAGACGCAGTGCACTGTGGTTGTAGCAAGGTAAGGTGCACCACGGGGACGCGGTGAACGTTTTGACGGCGCGTGTTCTCGGAAAAAAAGGGCTCCGGTGCGAACGGTTTGGTTCATCTGGAAATATTTATATTTTTCCCTTCAATTCCTCCGCGCGAGGTACGTGTGTCGATTACGAAAATATACCTATAACGGTACATGCCTGTACGCAGTTCACTCAGATACTCATTTAAAAAGCTCGACACACGCAAAACAATTGAAGAAGACGTGGTTTTCAACCATCTACAGTTATTTAAAGTAGCTAGTTGACTTCAAACCTAAATATTAAGATTAATCCGAACTATAAAAATCTACGTATTGTGTACATTTCAAAACTTTTTTCTAATTATATAATATGATGTAAAGATGTATGATAAATTATACATTTTTTAATCAAAAACATGATTAATTTGAGTATATGTTATTAAATACAATTAATATAAAAATTTTAATTTAATTTAATGATTGATTTCTATAAAAATACGAACGATGGGTCTATAATTTTTAAATATGTATATTATATAACGTTTTGCTTAATCATTTTTTTTTATAAATAAACGATGTTCAGCTAAAATATAAGAATAAGCGTAAAAAAAAACACAAAAGAGGTATTTATATATTTCCATCTCACTGCCTTTTTGTGGACTTAAAATACGTGAAATCAAAATAAATAGCATGTAATCCACTAACTCATTCGCTTAGTGAATATTGTTAACGTAAAACCAATCATCACTCGCTATAATTGAATGAGATACCTTTTATTTTTCAACTGATATTGGCTTACATTGATTGCTCGGTTTGGGGAAAAAAATATTTATTTAAATGTTTAAGAACGTTTTTGAAAATCATATTTAATGAGGTTCTTAAATCCTGTTTTTATGAATAGTAAAAACGTTACTTTTTGTTTTATGACAAATATTATATTATATTATCATCGTTTAAATGTTTAATATCGTATCGTATTGTTTCACTTGTAGAGCTTTCATGTTGATGTAAAATTGACACGGACACAAATATAAAACTGTGTGCAATACTGTTACAACTTAAATAATCTCGTTAATAATAATAATAATAATAATAATAATAAAAACACGCTCAAAGCGAATGTGTTAACGAAAATTATTTCTAATTTTATTGTTGTTTTAAATGTCATTAGAATAATGAAAATAAATAATTATTTGTCGTACCGACAGTTGTTGTTTTTCCTAACTACGATAGATACTTTAAGTTTTTCTGTATGATACACACATCACGTAGGTAGGTAGAATTTTGGCAGAGGTCATAAAAATTACAGTTCTGTTACCTGTGTATTTTTCGTTATTTCCAATGGTGCCGTATAGTATTACTTATATACATCATCTATTGTGTTCTTTGAATTAAAAAAATAAAAGAGTCCGGTAGTAAATTCATGTCAATTTACATGATTTTCGTCCGATTGTCAATATTATTTATACAATTAAAATAATTGGAAAACGTCCACCAGTATGTATATTATTTCTACAAAGTATAATATTTATATATATTATTTTTTATGAAAAAAGTTTATTAAAAAGTGTAAAAAATTGTTTAATTTGTATCAAAATGGAATGTTGACCAATGATCATTTTTCGATTTATCTACTTAGATGTTATGTAAAAGAACAAAACGATAAAAATTAACGAAACGGTAAGAATTTACTATATTAATGTGTTGTCTATTATTAATAAAACGATTTATTATTTTTTTTTTTTACGGATTGCAATCATATTCTGCACGAATAAATCATCACAATCGAAATTATTTTTGATAAACTCACACTTTTGAAAATATCCATACGAAGATATTTTTTTTAGATTGTGTATGCGTTATAAATCCAAGATCCGAGATCTAAATGTTCAGAAAATCAAAAATGGTTTACAGTTAATACTTTTTTTATACTTTTATTGATATTATAAATACATATATATATACATAGCTATGATTCTATGTAAAATATTTCTTGGGATATTGTATAATCAGATATTTATATCTCTTCAGGGAAAATATGTTTTTAGGCAACTTGAAAAATATGATGTCAATGTTGCCTATTAGGTATTTTATAGTATGTAAAATATAATTTTTCTATAGGTGACTATAGATAGATATTTTATTAAGGACTTACATAGCTTAATATCTGACAGACTTTTACCCGTACGAAAGAATAGTGTCTTATTAAGTTATAGGCTTTTATTCGTTCAAAATGTTTTTTTCTGATAACTCTTAAAAAAATGTATATATGTATCATGCCTCTTTTTCTTTAAGCGCACGTACTTTGTAATTTAATAAACAATCATTGAAGCCTGTTTAAACACAGTCACATACTATAGGTTTAAAGTACGAATGTGTACACACGAAATAAAAATAAAACGAGCAATAGATCATCAGCACAAACTGTTTAGAATATAGAATTATACAAACTAGGTTCCTGTACATTTTTGTAGTAACTACGGATCGACGTGACATTCAACCTCATAAATAACAATAATATTAATTTTTCAACGTGAGATGTCATATTTTGACATAAGTAACAACTGGCATCATTTTTTATAGTTTGTAATTAGGTACAAATTTCTTGACATAATATTTACTATATACCGTGTATCAGTTATCAAAATCCAACAGATTAAAATTAAAGTGCACTGTAATACGATATCTAGTATTTCCCACGAGATACATTTTTATCCTTCAATTACATAGTGTACTACATGAGTATTCGTTTAAAATCCATGATACGTATGCGTTAATATTTTTAATTTAATCTCAAACATCAAAAAATAGTGCACAATGCGATACCGTCCTTTTTATTCTCAAGTACCCTTATTGTCCCTCAATATATTATTAACTGCTACAAAGGGAGCAATTTTTCCGATTGAATTGCACTAAATCGCCTTTGACACATACGTTAAAATGTTCGTTCTCCGTATACATGTTTTAAATTTATAATGTAATACCCTTAGAATTCATCAGATGTAAATTGTAGGTAAAAAGATTCGTATATTTTATTGAATTTTTTTCGCTGCAGTTGGTAATTAGTATACTTAATTTTCTTCAACTTATGAACGAAAAATTATGCTAATATAAATGACTTATTCGAAATAGAGAGAACTAATAAACGAACCTTTTTAATTTAAATAATTTCATCCAAAAATAATTTTTAGAATTTTAAACAATATATAATTACATTTTAATTGATTTATTTCTATAATAAACATTCAACATTGTAATAAAATATTTCACAAAAACAAAAAATAAATACTAATGACAAAACCACAAATTATTAATATGCAATGTTTCATATAAAATAAATTTGTGTTGAGAAAATTGAGTTGTTTTTAATAACAATATTATATAAGAAAACGAAAATTAAATTATATAAGATATACATAATAATATATATAATTAATAAAACATCAATTACATTAATATAAGATGGATAAAATAAAAATATAATTAATAAACGTTATCATGATAAAAATTAAATTGTTGAACACTGTGATTCAATAAAGTTATATTACTACCAGATACAGTATTTGCATTGTATTTATGTAAGAAGTGTTATAACAATATTATGACTTAAGTTTCATTGTAGTTAATTTTATTATGTTTGTGAATGCATAATAATAATATTATATTGGACTAACCTAACTTTTCATTGCTTGTTAAATTTAATTCAGTATGGATAAGCTTTGAACTTTAATATAATGTAAATTTTATAGGTTAATTATCATTTAACAACAATTGAAAATAATATTCGTTATTATTTTTAGTATTTATTGATAAGTTATATGTGTGCATCTCCAAAATATTACATTATAACTTAATAAATGCTATACCACTGAAATGTAGATCATTATTTTCATTATTATATCAAAATAATGTTTTGCGTTTTTCATTACAAAGAAAAACTTTTGTTACGAACATATTAGAAAATGTATATGAATATCGGATTTATATCTACTACTTAACAGTTTTTGATAGTACCTTATATAGGGCATGCACCAGTTGCCCCCAAAAGTACCTTTTTTCATACCAATTCCCCTCAAATTTACCTAGAGGAAAATGTACCAGTTGCCCTCACATGTTAATATATACACGATTAAAATATATAGCTCGTAAAATAGGGGAAGTAAATATAAAAAACATTAATAAAATATAAAATTATTTATAAAAATAAAGTACGAGTAAAATAGTACAATGTTGCGTGCCAACCGTTTGATCGTATTTCAGTTACTCGCTCAATCTATTCAACGCTTGGATGTGGGTTTAGTGTTATTCAAACTGTACTGTGTGATATTCATGGACAATGTTGGTAACTGGACATAGAACATTCTTGTATATAAGATTAGCGAAATAACCAAAAATCAACTTCCTTTAGTACTCAGGACTCAACTTGAATGCTTCGATTTAATGTTATATCATATACATTTGATTGAATTTCTTTTCGTATTAATTTGAATGGTCGTTTAGAAACTTCATCCACAGCTTTCTGTTATAAATTATTAGAAATGGTTACTTTTGTTAAATTTTTACGCAGTGAATGTTTGTTTTTGATAACCGATTTTAAAAGCACCGTTTCGTCTTCAATTAAAGACAGATTTGACGTATACGACTTTAATGTACATCGCCATTTTACACTAGCTTGTGTAATGCAATCTTTATAAAAAGTATAATTTAAAATTAACAAAATATTGCCCTTTTTACTACACACTCCCGTAATATTTTCCATATTTCTTCTTCTAAAATGTACTTATCAAAGACGTAGGTATACATTGTATCATATAATAATTTCTAACAACCATAAAATTACATATAAAGATATAATAAATGATAATAATTATCCACTCAGACGCATCTAAAATTATGCGTTTTGGTAAAATACTTGCTTTGCACCAAATAGGCTATTATTATTTATTAGTTTTTACAAAATACAATATTATATATTATAATTCCAATTTCCAAGCATATTTATTTTTATAAAAAATTTTATATTTTATTTATGATTTGTATATTTACCTCCCCTATTTTACGAGCTATATATTGTAATATATTGTAATATTGTGTATATAGTAACATGTGAGGGCAACTGGTATATTTTTAAAATCTCGATAACAGGCGTAGAGGGAAAATGGTCAACACCTCTTATATATAAACCTACTTTTTCTCATATTATAATTAAGTTCTATTATATAAATATTTATAATTGATGAAATGACAAATTGTAATATGATGTACTAATCAAT